ATGGTGTCTCTCTCTCTCTCTCTCTCTCTCTCTCTCTCTCTCTCTCTCTCTCTCATGTGGGTGATTTACCAATAACATTAGTCTTGTATTGACTATAGATAAGTCTGCTTCTGCGTCATTTTTTATTATAAACCTTTTTATTTACTGGTTACTGAGAAAATGGAGTGAATGGAAAGCACTGCAACTGTTTATATCAAGCATGGAAAGGACTGCTTATGTGATGATTGTTGAAAATGTTGATGCGATAATTGAAACAACCTTAAATTTGTATAAATTCGTCTTAGTTTCTGGTAATCTAGGACGAGTCTGTTGCTAGTCAAACCCAAGACCCGCTGAGCTTTTGATGTAAAGCAAAACCAACAAACTAGAAGAACTAGTCAAGTTCAGCAGACAACGGTAACAATTCTTGGAAATTTGATATTTGCAATGATACTTGGAGCCTTGAACGGCTTTTCTTAGTTGGCGTAGGTGTAGCCCCCATTTAGTCACGCCATAGTTTATGGATGTTGCTTAGGATATAAACTTCCCTGCCCCGGTGCCTCTGATAGGGAGAGAGGGGCAGTGGCACCAGGTCTTAGGCTTCAAAGTTATGTTTAACTGGACATGTACTTTCCGACAATAAACTGGGCTAACCTAGTTTTTATTGTCGAGGATGATTTGTTTAGTACGTTTAAAAAATATATATATAATTATTAGATTATTGTATCTAAGGTACTCTTGCTCTGCGCATAATCTCTGTTACAGTTCGCTTTTCTGTTTGATTTCTTCGATAATGGATAGTTACACATGTTGTAATGCTTGAGGTGAACGTTCCGAAGACAAAGAAGACACACTACAAGCGCAAAGAGTGTAAAAAGCACACTCCTCACAAGTTCACCCAATACAAGAAAGGAAAGGATGGCCTTGCTGCTCAAGGAAAGAGGCGTTACGATCGTAAGCAATCAGGTTATGGAGTCAAACCAAGCCAGTGTTCCTCAAGAAGGTAAGCATCGAGTTCCTGCTCCCTTTGCATTCTGGAATGTGAAAAGAATAATTGAAAGCCGAAGACCAAGTATTTCCTATTTCCACAGATTGATTTTGGGAATTTTCATTTTGAACGTTTATATTTCTAAACAGGCAAAAATTACAAAGAAGATTGTCCTGAGGCTCCAATGCCAGGGTTGCAAGCATGTGTCTCAGCACCCAATCAAGGTTAGTGCATATGGTGTTTGTAATTTGCTCCTTTTCCATTTTTATCCAAGATTTTTGCTAATGCTCGAATGTCGTCACTGATTTCTGCAGAGGTGCAAGCACTTTGAGATTGGTGGAGACAAGAACGGAAAGGGAACCTCTCTTTTCTAAGTGCACTGATTGGGTTGTATTTTGTGTTGCGTTCCATCTTGTTGGAGCTTTAAAGCTAATATGATAGTCCTTGTTCTTAGTTGTTCTGTTCAACATCAAATTGTTCTCAATAATCTTTTTCTTCTTTCAATTCAGATTAGAGTTCTAATTCACTAGTGTTGCCAATTCAATTTAAAACCTTCTTTCATTTCATTATCCTTGTTGTCTGTCCACCCCATCTTTGTTGCATCTTGTTATTGCCCAAAATTTCTTATGGTGATCAAAGTAAAGCCAGTTATGCGGGGTGTTTAATTGGAGTTTGCAGCTCCTAATTGACTATTTACAGAATGGTAGCCTGGGGCTCTCTCTCTCTCTTTCCAATTTCATGTAACGTGCAGCCACGCAGCGCAAGCAGTCTGCTGAACTGATCTACTTGTGCAAATATGTAGGATGCCAGTTGTGTGCCAACCAAACTAGAGAGAGGGCCGGCTGCCTCTTGGATTTTAATTGTTTAAGGCCCGAGTCCTACAAGGCTACAGGGAATTTGCTTTTGCTTTCGTGTTAAGCTAACCCACTTGGTAAAAGCAAAAGCAGAGGAATCTGATCTGTGCTTTGCAAAGGCAAAGCACTTTTCGTAATAGATTAGCTAGCTAAAGAGAGAGCCAGAGTGGAGATATAAATTATTTCTGTGCTCTGAGAAAAAGAGATCATATACAAAGTGCTGGTAGGTTAAAATACAATAGTAAGATGGTATTAGTACAAAAGATGCATGTAGCTTGGATTAAGAGTTGGCCTCATGATTTCTGAATTCAACATCAATCCCTTTCTTTTCTTTTCTTGTGAATTATAATCTAGAGCTGTCAAATTTCCAATC